GACCGCCGCCGCGGCGCGCAGAAGCGGGGCGTTGGCGCGTTCCCCGGGATCGCAGGCCCCTCCCTGGTGGAAAAGGGGGATGACGATCTCGTCGTAGCTCTCGGAGACGACGGGCTCGGGGACGAGGACGTAGCCGACGTGCTCCGGCAGGGCCCCGCGTGGGGCCTCCCCTCCGGCGAGGAAAGGGATGGCGGGGGCGGCCCTCTGCCGGTGCGAAAAGCGCAGCAGATGACTCAGGGCCACGACGTTCAGCCGGTGCCCGACGCGGACCGCCGCCAGGACTTGTTTGCCGCCGTCGGGGCTGCTGGGGGGGGCCGCGGGGGCCGCGAGGGCGGGCTCGCCCTGGCGGGTTTTCGGCAGGATCGGCAGCCGCGCCGTGGGCCCCTGGGAAGGGGAGGGGAAGGCGGGTTTGGGGGCAGCGCGCGTGCTCGAGCGCCCGTCTGAGGCGGCGGAGGGAAAGCGATCCGACGACGTCGAGCCCGCGTGCGGGGGGCTCTTGCGGCTCCCGCTCCTTTTCGCGTCCGCCACGCCAGGGCGGGGCTCGTCCGCGGAGTCTTTCATCGAAATCGGCGGCGAAAGCGGGAGAGAAGAGGAGGTCGAGGGGCCTTTGCTCCCATCGCGCGGCGCGGTGGGGCTCGTCTTCGGCAATTTGCGCAATCCTTTGAGTTTGGCCTCTTGGACAGCCGACGGGGATGGCGGGGATCGCGCGCGAGTGCGCTTTCGGGTTGGGGAGCCGTCCGAAGGACTCTTTTCCTCGTCCTCGCTATCCCCCAACTCCTCAGTCTCCTCCTCCCCGCTAAGCGACGAGGTGGAAGATGAGGAAAAAGACTCAAGATGGGGGGAAAGGCAGGGACCTCGATAGAATAACGACCGCGCCGCGCTGCTAAAGTTGATATCGAGCAAACTATCGACCAAATTCGCTTTATCGGTGTTGGTGTAGGTCTGAGGCTGCCCCCCGCGGGCGTTATTGGCGTGGCTGACGACCTGAAGGCTGGTGATGGGATCGAGCCCGGAGGCGCCACGCCCGGGGCCGGTGGAGGCGAGCAGCACCACCCGCCCCCCACTCCCGCAGAGAAAAGTCCGAATTCGGCGTATCATATTTCGGGTGATCCTCCCCGGATGATAGTAGTGATTATTATTATTATTATTATTGCCCTTCAAAGACACCGTGTTATTAGGACTATTTCGCTGAGGAGAAGGAGGAGCGCCGGAAATATCAATGGGAAAGCGTAGGTGGACGTGAATCGACACCACAAACTCCCCCCACCCCTCCTCGGTGATCTCAAAAGGCGCATGATAGACAGTCCGCACGCACGGCGAGAAGCTGCTATCGAGAATAAAGGTGACGTGGTGAATAAAATGTGAAAGATAATCCTCTTTAAAAGGGGAGGCTAAAAACGAAGTGGAAGGGTTCCTTTCCGCGCCTACGGGCTTCTCGCCCGCGAGGCGGTCCGAAGGGGGTTCCTTTTTGATTTTCCCGGCTTCGGACGGGGGGAGGGGGTAGCCGTTGTAGAGGCCGCGAATGTAAACGGTCCAGCGGTGGCTTTTGTCCTTACTTTCGGGATTTATCAGCTGAACGCAGCCGCCCACCACGACTGGAATTGAAATACTCCGCACGGACGACAACAACGACGAAGGCGGCGCCTCGTCTAAGAGGCCATCCGTGTTGGATGGGGCCTCAGCGGTGTCGGTATCGGCCTTTTCTTCTTTGATGACGGACTTTTCAGGGCAAAGCGGGTATCTTCGGTTGGGAAGGTGCGTTTCGTAGGGGTTCGCCCGACTTGGAGAAGCCCGTTGGGGCTCTTTTTTCGTTAGAGGGGGCTTGTGCTTGGAATCGGGCTTCAGCACCGGGCGGGAAGAAGTGGGGGATAAATCACGCGAAAGGGCGGCGGCGGCGTATAAAGAAAGCTCCGGTACCGCCACTAAAACGGCGTTGGGATCGGAAAGCAGAAAACAAGGCGTTCGGCCATCCGAACTCAACGCACTGGCGGATGAAATGGAAGAAGCTGAGGAAGCTTTCACGGCGGTGTTCAACAAGGTGTTTAACCTATGCAAAGCCTCCTCCTCCTCGTCATCAGAGCCCAACGAATCCCTCTCATAAATCTCTTTTTCATCCTGGTGATGCTGAAAACGATCTTTTCTAGGGTTTTGGTCTACCAATCGTGTGGGAGGGAAGAGAATATCTTGAAGTGAAGTTTCCTCGTCCTCGGGATTAGGTGGCTGCGTGGAGCCTTCTTTTCCCTCCGAAATCCGGCCCATCCCAGCTTCATGCGGAGGCGAACGCGATGAGGAGGGCATCGCATTCTCCTCATCTAGGACAAAGTGGTTCAGGCAAAGATTCACAAATTGCGGGGCTTTTTTGTCGAAAAAAGAACGCGAGGGCGCGGTCAGAGACGACGAGGAGGCATTTGAACGTAAAGGGGACTGCAGGAGCCGCTCGTTGGGGGTCTCGATGACGACGGATTTGGCCGGCTTCGCGGCGGCTGTTAAGGATGGGCGTCCGCCACGTGGAAACGCCCGGCCCTCCTGCTGATCATTCGACTGCAAGTGAAGGGTGCTGTCGGAATCCACGAGCTCGACCCTTTCCTTCAGGTTGGAGTCTTGGAAAGCCGAAATGGACGTGTTAGACGGCGAGGAGGTGAAATTGCTGGATAGGACCTCCCCTTTTGAGGTTGTTTTCAAGGCGCCATGCATGACGTCTTCGGTGGGGGCTGTCAAGGTGATGGTTTGGTAAACTAGAGGGCGAGGCAACTTCTTCGGCGGGCGCCCCCGTTTTCGCTTCACAATCACCACCTCGCCGCTTCCCGCTGGGGGAATTTCATGCGGGGCGGGCAATAATGGCGCGGGAGGCAACGTTGGCGGCGAAAAAGGCATCGCCTTGGGGGTCGTTTTGGGTTTGTTTAGGGCTCGTCGACCGCCTCGGCCGCGACCGTCCCCCCCCGCTTGGGGCAGGATCCCCCGCGCCCGCATAAACGGAGGAATAAATAAAAATCTCACTCGGGGAGAGACGCGTGGAGGTCTTAAGATCGAGCGGATCGTTTTTGGACGAGAAGCAGGCGTACTGTTTGCTGAGTTGTTGAACGGCCTCGGCGTCGGAGGTGTTGGAACGCGCCTCGCCCTCAAAAGGATTCGTAATGACGGTTTGCAAGAGGAGCTCCGCGAGGTGAGGAATGTGGGCACAATCCGCAGTAACGTGCGTTGTTTTTCCATTGTAGTGTAGAAAAAAGTCACGTTGCATGCACGACAAAAAAGAGGGGCTTTCCTCCTGTGCAAATATGTTTGTTTTTAATATTCTTTATATATATATATATATATAGATGTGTGTGTGTGTGTAGTAATTATTTAG